TACATGGAGCAAAACTAAACTACCCGATACACGACAAAGAGGCCCTTGCCATCGTCATCGCCTTCAAAGCGTGGAGATGTTATCTCGAAGGACGAAGAACAACCGTCTACACTGACCACTGCAGCCTGAAATACTTGAAGACATAACCCAACCTTTCCAGGCGGCAGGTCCGGTGGATCGACTTCCTCGAGACACACTTCCACTACGACATCGTGTACAAGCCCGGCCACAAAAACAAAGCAGACGCTCTTAGCCGGCCTGCACACGTTGCCGCCATTCAGATTGAAGGGATGAATCCACTACTCAAGGGACTCTTCACACACGGGTACGCCATCGACCCCGAAGTCCCCTTGGCGGAAAAGCGACATTTGCTACAGTAGGACAGTTACATCGCGTCCCGGAAAGGATCAACGAAAATTTGGGTACCCAATTACCCTCCTTTGCGTCAGTTACTACTCGAAGAATACCACGACGTCCTCTACGCCGGACACTTCGGTGGCAACAAGACGCTCACCGGTATCGCCAAACACTACTACTGGCCCCACATGGCAGATGACGTACAGAAATTCGTCACCTCGTGTGATACATGTCAACGGATGAAGAGCAACAAGCAGAAAAAGGCGGGACTACTGCAGCCTCTTCCTGTCCCAGAACAGCCATGGCAAGTGGTTAGCCTGGACTTCATCACCACGTTACCACCTACCACGAGCAGTCATGACGCAATCCTTGTCGTCATCGACAAGTTCTCCAAAATGAGACACTTTATCCCGACACACACGACGGCACGCACTGAGGAGACAGCACAACTCTTCGTTCGTCACATCATCTCACAGCATGGCATTCCAACCACACTCATTTCCGACCGAGACCCCAAGTTCACCAGCAAGTTCTGGAAGGAACTTATGTCTCTACTTGGGACCAAACTCGCCATGTCATCCGCCTACCATCCGCAGACAGACGGACAGACCGAGCGCCTCAACCAAATTGTTGAGCAACTCCTCCGAGCAGCCTGCAAGGATGAGATCTCCAAATGGGACCTGCACCTGCCCATTCTAGAGTTTGCTTACAACAACGCTACACATGCCGCTACTGGACAGACGTCGTTCTTCCTCTACTACGGATGCTACCCACTCACACCACAGAAACCGACAACATCCGCTACAGTCCAACCTGCACATGATTTCATCACAACCATGCATCAGCTTTGGGATCGGACCCATAAGCGCCTCCTCGACATTCAGCAGCAACAAAAGCGCCAGGCCGATCGCCATCGCAACGACCACACCATCACGGTGGGAGACCAAGTGCTTCTTGACACCCGCAACCTTGACATCAGCCACCTCCCATCTAAACTGCGACCTCGCTTCTGCGGGCCTTTTCTCGTTGAAGCACAAGTCACTCCTGTTACCTTCCGCTTACGCCTGCCAGCTACCTGGAAGATTCACAACGCCTTCCATGTCCAACTTCTGAAGCCCTATCGGGATCCAAACACGCTCTTCGTTGGACGCCAACCGCCGCCGCCGCCGCCCGTCCTCGTCCAGAATGAACCCGAGTACGAGGTCGAGTCCGTGCTAGCACACCGCCGACGTCGGAATGGCACTGTGGAGCTTCTCATCCGCTGGAAGGGTTATGATCCTTCTGAGGACAGCTGGGTCCTTGAGTCCGACATGGGTAACGCACGTCGTCCTCTGCATGACTACCTTGTGAAGCAGGGTGTTACTTCTACCACCCAGCTTTGAGGGGGGGAAGTGTGGGAGTACGACCCCGTTACACCACTTGTCCCTTTTCTTATTTCCTTCCTCTCTCATTCCTCTTTTTATCTCATCTCATTTGGTTTCCTATTCTCCGTTTTCCATTAACCTTTGGTTTATCCTGCTATTATAGTTATATCACCGACCAGGCTTGGGATGTACTGGTGCGCTATCTGGCGTAATCCTGCCGTAATCCCTTCAAACCAATAGCCTCGCGTGGCTATACGCAGGGTGATTATATCTTCTAGAAGGGTCTATTCCTCTAGGCTAAGATAAACTTGGTTACCTGATGTACTTTGGAAGTATAAAAACGCCTTGTACTGATCGATAGTGCAACCTTTCCTCGACACATTCGATCCTGTGACATTGGTCTTGTTCCTGTAGCTTCTCACTTGCTAGGACCTTGATTGTGTACCACTTCTTAAATTATCTTGACGGGCCTTGTGGCTCTTGTTCTAGTGGCTGGACTAGTAGTGTCGCCCTGGGTTACTCTTGTTTCGATTGTCCTCTTGCTGACTGGACTTCGGACCCTTGCCTAAGAGGTTGGACTAGTAGTGCCACCTTGAGCTGCGTGTCCTTTGCCCGTCACTGCCCCTCATCTAACCTATTGGGTGTGTCAAACATATGTCTATATGTTACTATCGGCTAGATAGGTGCGTACTCTTAGAGAGTACAACCCCTTAGCACAAAACTACCGTACATCTCACATTCTGGTAAATTCGTTACTCTGAGAATGGGCGCACTTACCCTTATTTGACAAGCCCTTTTAATCCTGTGGTTTGTTACTGAGTTCTGATAATTATAGAGAGGACAACATAAATGTAGGAACTCTGTCCTACATGTCACAGCCATTCATTCTCTCAGTTTGACAAAAACAAGTGAGAGGTTGAATATACACTGGTGGAAACAATTGTCCACATGTTTAGCATATTTTCACATTTTGACGAGCTGTACGCTATAAACATTAAGCCTTAATTCATGGTGGCCATACACGTAGAGAGGAGCAGTTAGAGCACTCACTCAAATCTCCTAAAACCAAAGTAGTATATTTCATGGTCCTTCAAGACGACAACATTTAATAACAGCACATCCGGACAATTTGTACCGGGGACAGGCAACAAACTAGTTACTAGCAAAACTAGTACCTAGTCAACCGACACTTGGCCTTGATCACCACCTACACCCTCCTAGGCATGTTATCTACGAGGTTAGTGCAAACCTTTACAGGGATCTTCTCGCACTCTTCCTGGACCCACGCTTTTGCATAAGGGGGTGAGCACTAGGAAAATCGCGAAGTATTTGAACGTATGCAAGAGTACTGTGCACGATTTCATGTTGAATGTTATCTCTAAGACTAGCCATGCTGAGGTGTGGCCAAAGATGCCATTAGTCGATTGGTCTCGTCTTATCATGGATCGTCTTCATCGCACCGTTGTAGGTAAAAATTACGAGCAGAGTGGCGAAAAATTGCGTATCTGCCACGAAACTTAGGGTAACATAGCACGGTTGACAGTGCATCCTTGCACTATTAGAATCATGCTAGGATCCGTATGTCTCTGAGCGGTGCAGCAGTCAAAGTAGTCGTGACTGGTGGGGAAAAATATCCGGGTTGAGATCTGGTGAAGAAAAGGGTCACTCCAGCGTAACATACTCGTGTTCTCTAAGCCATTCTAAGCCATGTGTCTCGCCTAGGCTTGGAATGGCTTGGAGAGCATGAGTTTATAGCACTGGAGTGACCCTCTTCCTCCCCAGACCTGAACCCGGATATTTTTCCCCACCAGTCACGACTACTTCGACTGCTGCACCGCTCAGAGACCTACGGATCCTAGCGTGATTCTAATTGTGCAAGGATGCACTGTTAACCGTGCTATGTTACTCTAAGTTTCGTGGCAGATACACAATTTTTCGCCACTCTGCTCGTAATTTTTACCTACAACGGTGCGATGAAGACGATCCATGATAAGACGAGACCAATCGACTAATGGCATCTTTGGCCACACCTTAGCATGGCTAGTCTTAGAGATAATATTCAACATGAAATCGTGCACAGTACTCTTGCATACGTTCAAATACTACGCGATTTTCCTAGTGCTCACCCCCTTATGCAAAAGCGTGGGTCCAGGAAGAGTGCGAGAAGATCCCTGTAAAGGTTTGCACTAACCTCGTAGATAACATGCCTAGGAGGATGTAGGTGGTGATCAAGGCCAAGTGTCGGTTGACTAGGTACTAGTTTTGCTAGTAACTAGTTTGCTGCCTGTCCCCGGTACAAATTGTCCGGATGTGCTGTTATTAAATGTTGTCGTGTTGAAGGACCATGAAATATACTACTCTGGTTTTAGGAGATTTGAGTGAGTGCTCTAAATGCTCCTCTCTACGTGTATGGCCACCATGAATTAAGGCTTAATGTTTATAGCGTACAGCTCGTCAAAATGTGAAAATATGCTGAACATGTGGACAATTGTTTCCGCCACTGTAACTAGGCCTGGAGCACACGGCAAAGGCTTGGAGGAGCTGAGACGTGTGACTGCAAATTTGTACGGAGCGCGCATGTTCAGGCATGAAACAGTAAGGGCGTGTCCCCAAAAATCTTTTACCCATTTTTGACATGCGTAGCTGTTTGACGGTACGTAATGTGAGTCGATTTTGAAACAGATTCCGCTTTGGGAACAGGTCTGTTATGAAGGGTGCTGTTCGGAAGGACAGCACCGAGACCAGCACAGACATAGGAGCGGGTAACGGGATCCCGCCATGCGAAACCAGTGCACCGCGCGTGTAACAAAAAGAGGGCCAATTGGTATAGCGGGGGTAGGTTGTTCGCTAGCGACGTGCGAGGTTACAAAGTTTCGCTAGAGAATTTCGCTAGAGGTGGTGCTGGTACTGGTTTGCAAACTAGATTTTTGTGTGGTGTTTTTTTGTCGTGCGGAGGTACCTGGAAACGGTGCTGGTGTCCGCTTATTTCGGGTGTGAACTGGGCGTGTCCTATTCGGGCATGTTTTATGGTTACACACTTAAAAGTGGTAACTGAACTCGGTGTTGAACAAGGCACGTACTTTTGAACAGTGACACGCCCTAAAGGGAACGACATGCTTGCGGCTCGTCAGTTGGGTGACGCGGTTTGAATTTCGTGGCAAAGCTGCGGGGCAACCCCTAGAAGCGGGGCTTATCGAAGTGTACGCTTTACTAGCTAAACCCCTAGATAAGGAAATTCTATTTACTTAAAATAGAATCCCATGGTTCGTTTCACTGAACTTGATCGCGCAAAACACATCCATCAGCAACAGCATCCCATCCATGGCCAAACTTGAGACACCGCTGTAGTCACTCTCGCCGCTACACTCACATTCATCGCCGCTACCTCCCCATGCTCCGCCAACACAGCGCGCGCCATGCATCGCGATGGGGACGGCGGGCCTCGCGCTCGCTGCTCCTCCCCGCCCCGTCGCCGTTCCGCCTCCTCAAACTTGACACTCCGACGATTGCGCTCACATGCCCGCCACTTTCCCACCCTTCCGCATCAGCCGCATCTTTCTCTCTCCCCTCATTTTCGTCACCGCCTCTCGCAATGATCTCGTCTAGCGGATCAGCAAGCAGGCTGTTGTCTCAGTCCTCCGCGGCATCATTACAATCACATCCGATCCATGCCTCCCGATCCACATCCCCTTCCACGTCGTCCAGTCCCGCCGCATCCGGTGCCGGCGCAGCCGCCGTCGCGCCGCCGCCGCCGGGAGGCGGATCGAAGGGATTCGGGGCTGGCGGCGCCGCGGTTGCTGCGGCGGCGGTGACAGGCGGCGCGTGGTACTTGTGGCGGCAACAGGAGGAGCAGCGGGAGACGGAACGGGTGGTGAAAGCGACGCAGCAGCAGCATCCGGCGCTAACTGTGGCACCGTTGGCGGAGGCGGGAGGGGAAGAGGAACGAGTCGGGGAGAGGGGAAATGGCGGCGCGGCGGAGAGAGGCGCGGATCAGCGCGAGCAGGCGGTTGGGACGGGGGAAGGGGACAGTTTGGCGCAGGAAGGACGCGTGGAGATAAGTGGCGCGAAGGGAGGAGTCGCAGGTGCGGGGAAGGAGGCGCGGAGAGTGACGGAAAAGAGCGGAGAGGCGGAAGAAGTCCCCCCGGCGACGTCAGTGGCGCAAGTAGTGGGGGAAAAGAGGGGAGCTCTGTGGAAAGATGAAGGGGTTGCAGATGGCGCGAGTGGGGGGGAGGGTTCGCGGAAGGCGGAACAGGCGCGGGAAGGAGAGGGGAAGTCGGAAGAAATGAGCGGAGGGGAGGAGAATGGAGGAGACGTGTTGTTGGGGGGGAGGGGGGGGGAGGGAGATGGAGTAAAAAGGACGACAGAGGAGGCACAAGGCAGAGACATCTCTATTGCTGGTAATGGGAGAAGGAGGAGAAGAGTGAGTGAGGAACGGAGGAGGATGGCAGGATAGAAGAAGTGCAAGCGTCGACTTGTGAGGAGGATAGTGACCTGCAAGGGGTGATAGTGATGCAGTGAGCCTTCAAGCCGCGTGGTCAATGTAATTTGCCTTCGTTTACTTACTGCCACCCCCCTCACCGCTCCCTGCTTTCTTTCTCCTCCCCGCGCCGTGCCTTTTCACCCCCCTCCCATCCCCCCCGTCGTCCTCCCTTCTCTCTCTACCTATCTTCCTCTCCCGCTCTCCCCACTCTTCCCCCTATCCCCCCTCGTTCGCCCCTCCCCCTCTCCCCCTCTCCCCTCCCTCCCTCTCCCCCTCTCCCATCTCCCTCTCTTCCCCCCCCCCGTCGCCCCCTCTCCCCTTCTCCCCCTCGCCCCCTCTCCCCCTCTCCCCCTCCCCCTCTCCTCCTTTCCCCCTCTCCCCCTCTCCCCCTCTCCCCCTCTCCCTCTCTCCCCCTCCCCCCCTCTCCCTCTCTCCCTCTCTCCCCCTCTCCCCCCATCCCCCGCTCCCTCCGCTCCCCGTGCAGAGGCAGCGCTTCTGGCGCAGCTGCCAGCGCAGCTGCTGGTGGGTGTGATGGATGAGGCGAGGCGGCGGCAGCAGGCTGCTGATGAGGCGGCCACGGAGGAAAGGCTCCGACAGGCGCAGGTGAGAGGGGGTTTAGGGTTGCAAGGTACGGAGGGGGAGGCTTGCGGTTGCTGGGTGGGATGCATGGATGAGAGTCTCATCAGGCGGGCAAAGGACGAGAGGCTCAGGCAGGCGCAGGTGAGAGAGAGGGGGGTAGGGGAACGGGGAGGATTTTGAATCGACTCAAAAGGAGGCGAGGCAGCATCAGCGGGGAGTTGATGAGGCGATCAGGGAGGAGAGGCCCAGGCAGGCGCAGGCGAGAGAGGGGGATATAGAGGAAGGGGGAGGACAAGGGAGAGGAAGAGGGAAGGAAGAGTTTCTGGGATCAAAATGATGGAGCGGGAATGCCTCACACACTCCCTCCCCCTCCCCCCACTTGCCATTCCACTGGAACCATCCCCCCCCCTTCTCCCCCCCCCCCCAATACCCCCACCCCTTTAGTGGGGCCACGAGCTCGCAGTGCTGGTGCTGCAGCAGCAGGTGCAGGGCGCAGGGAGTGCTCAGCACTCCCATACTCCCTCTCTCACATGAGCATGCTGCTGCTGCTCCTTGGCCTGCAACTTTTGAGTCTACTCAAAAGTCTTAACTTTCCGCTCCCTTCTGAGTTGACTGGAAAATCACTTAACTTTCTCTCTCGCCCTTCTGAGTCGACTCAAAATCATTTCCTCCCTTTTCCCGCCCTTCCCAGGGCGGCCACCAGCGCACAGTGCTGGCGCTGCAGCAGCACTTGCAGCGCACAGGGAGTGCTGTGCCTTACCCACACACTCTCACACTCCCTCCCCCACACGTGCATGCTGCCCCCCTCCCTTTGCCCGCCTTTGCAGGAAGCCCACGAGCACGCAGTGCTGGCGCTGCAGCAGCAGTTGCAGGGCGTGGAGGCGCGGCTGGAGGCTGTGAGAGCAGCACGGGAGAGGGAGAGGGCGAAGATGCAGGCGGAGGCAGAGCGGGTGAAGCAGTGTATGGTGGAGAGGCATGAGAGGACAATGAAGGACAAGGTATGGCCGAGGAGGGGAGGAGAGGAGGAGGGGAGGGTGTTTGGAGTGACGCTGGGGGGGGGCTGGGGAAGAAGTGACAAGAAGTTTTGCTTTGAGGCGTCTCAAGCTACCTTGTTATTTCGAGGCAGAGTGAGTGAAGCTGGGGGGGGGCTGGGTGGGGGGGGCTGGGGGGGGCTGGGTGGGGGGGGCTGGGGGGGGGCTGGGTAGGGGGGGCTGGGGGGGGGCTGGGTGGGGGATGCTGGTGGGGGGCTGGGGTGGGGCTGGGGGGGACTGGGTGGGGGCTGGGGGGGGCCTGGGGGGGGGCGGGGGGGGGGGCTGGGAGGGGGACTGGGTGGGGGGGCTGGGAGGGGGCTGGGTGGGGGGGCCTGGTGGGGGCTGGGTTGGGGCTGGTGGGGGCCGGGGGGGGCTGGGGGGGGCTGGGTGGTGGGGGCTGGGGGGGGGCTGTGTGGGGGGGGCTGGGGGTTGGCTGGGTGGGGGGGCTAGGGGGGGCCTGGGTGGGGGCTGGGTGGTGGGGGCTGGGGGGGGCTGTGTGGGGGGGCTGGGGGTTGGCTGGGTGGGGGGGCTAGGGGGGGCCTGGGTGGGGGGGCTGGGGGGGGCAGGGTGGGGCGGGCTGAGGGGGGGCTGGGGTGGGGGCTGGGGGGGGGGGGGGGGGGGGCGCTGGGGGAGGCCTGGGTGGGAGCCGGGGGGGGGCTGGGGGGGGGCTGGGTGGGGGCTGAGGGGGCTGGGTGTTGGGAGTGAAGCTGTAGATGGTGGAGAGGCATGAGAGGACGGTGAGAGTCAACACAAGGTATGCTTGGACTGTTGATACCGACAGGACTGACTCGGGATCCCCTCCTCTAGTCGTCTCTTTTGAGCTGAAACCGGTCCACGGAATCACAGTTGTTCCGATGCCACGGAATCACAATCCATGGACTGAGTGAGTATAATTGCAGCCTCCTCCTCCCCAACTCCTCCACGAACAACCTCCCTGCCTCATAACCAACCCCACATGACGGGCTTATGGCTATGGCTTTGTCACACGAGCGAATGGCTATGGCTGATGTATGAATGTGGGGCCTCCGCAGTCCACCTTGTTAGTACTGGCAGGAGGCATAAGTGGGAGATGCAGGAGAAGGTATGGTTTGGGAGGGGTTCAAGCGAGTTGGGAAGGCGTTGGGAAGGACGAGTGAGTGTGACGGGTTGGGAGGGTGCAGGTACAGCTTTGGGGTTGATTGAGGGGAGAGGGCCAATCGGATGGGAGGTCAAAGGAAAGGGCGGGCCGCGGGGGTATGGTGAAGGGTGGGGGATGTGAAGGGAATGGTTTGCTGGGAGGAAGCCTTGGTAGATGGCGAGTTGATGCCAACATGTCACGGAGTGCCCACATGCTTCATTGCGGTCGCGTTGCTTGCCCTGACGATGCTAACGCTATGCGAACATGCCAAATTAAGCCGCCTCCTGGTGCCACCCATCCCATCCGACCCCATCCCATCCCATCCCATCCCATCCCATCCCATCCCATCCCATCCCATCCCATCCCATCCCATCCCATCCCATCCCATCCCATCCCATCCCACGACTCCTGTTATCGTTCTGCTTCTGGGGAGGAGGAGGGTGTAGCAACTGCATTGGAGGCGGGCACGCTGGCAGATGCGGGGGCAGTGGGAGGAATCTATGCTTGACGCACCTTGATAATAGATTCCCATCTCCTTCCGTTCCACCCCATCCCACCCCATCCCACCCCATCCCACCCCATCCCACTCCATCCCACCCCATCCCACAACCCCTGCTGTTTGTCCCCCAACCAGGAGGAGGAGGGCTTAGCCATGGCAGCAGAGGCAGGCGTGCTGGCAGAGGCGAGGGCCGTGGCGGGCATGGCGGCTGCTGTGGCACGGCAGACAGAGGAGGTGGAGCGACTCAAGCTGCAGGTGAGGGCGGAGGGGCAGGTGAGGGCGGAGGGGCAGGTGAGGGCGGAGGGGCAGGTGAGGGACGAGGGGGTGCGAGAGCGTGGGGGGTGCGGAGAGCCCACACACCAACAGTCCCCCAAACACCCACACTCCCACACCCCCACACGCCCACCCCCCCCCCCCCCCCACACACCCCTCCACATGCACGCATACACACACACACGCACGCGCGCGCGCGCGCACACACACACACGCCGACACACCCACCACCGCTCCTCCATCAACCTGTGCTAATCTTTGCTCCCCGATGCTCCATTCTCTCCCGTCCCGTTCATCCCCCCAGCTGGCAGCGCTGCATGAGGCCTTCCGCACTCGGTCGGAGGAGGAGAGGAAACGACACGCCGGCCACTCCCTTGCCATGGTACTGTTCATACCCACGTACGTGGTACTGTTCGTAGTCATGTTCACGGCACTGTTCGTCCCCACGTTCATGGTACTGTTCATAGTCATGTTCACGCCACTGTTCTTCCCCATGTTCGAGGTGTTCGTAGTCATGTTCATGGCACTGTTCATCCCCATGTGCATGGTACTGGTCATATAGTCATGTTCACGGCACTGTTCATCCGCACGTGCTTGGTTCTTTTTGTGAAGATATATTTCCTCCCCTTGTCCCCATCCACTGTCCTCCCACTCGTACAACCTTTATCCATACCCTCGCTCACTTCACGCCCACCCAAACTCACCTCCCCCCCTCCCCCCCCCTCTCCCCCGGTCTCTGTCCCTCCCCCCCCTCTCCCCCGGTCTCTGTCCCTCCCCCCTCCATCCATTTCCCCGCTCTTCCCCATCGCCCTCAATTCTGTTCCCCGCACTTGTGCCACACAGTGTTCTTATCTGTCGTGCCATGCTTCGCAGCGTGCCACCGAGCAACCCGCTGCACACCTTGCTCCTTGCCTCCATCGCATCACCTCTTTTCTTACACTTCCCTTCACAACCCTGCTTCATTCCTCCTCACCCCTTCCCCCCCCCCCCCCCCTCCTTCCAACCCCCCACCACTCTCCCCAATCAGCTCTGCTTTGCTCTAGAGGATGCTGCTCTGAATGGCACCCCCCTATCCTTGCCCCTCGCACCCCTGCAACCCGCCTCCATCTCCCTCCCTCCATCCTCTCACCAAGTCACTGATGCACCTGCAACTCATGGTTCCAGCACCAGTGGCAGCACAGACGCAGAGGTAGTAGCAGGAGAGTCACCAGCATCAGATGCTCTCGTGCATGCTGTGCTGGCCTCGCTGCCTGCCCCTGCTGCTGACCAGGGCGTGCCCACGCCAGCTCAGCTGCGGCAGCAGCTGACTGCGCTGCGGCTGTCGCTGAGTCAGCTGGGGCTCATGCCATCTCAGGGCGCCGGCGTGGTGGCACATGCCTTGGCATTTCTGGCGGCAATGGTCAAGGTGGGCTGCAGTGGGGTGGGATGGGAAGGGGAGGGGAGGGAGGGGCAAGGTAAGGTTATATCGAGTCTGGTTCAAGTTTCCGGTGGCACGATATGGAGGGGGAAAGAAAGAAAAGTGGGGAGGGTGCAGGGGCCGAAGGACAGATGAGGTGGCTAGTGCTTTGAGACTGCCTCCAACGACGAGGAATTCCAGGCGAGGAAGGGGAGTGGGGGGGTGGGTGGGGGGAAAGGGGGGGGAGATGGGATTGGGGGGAGAAGGGATACTGCACAGATGTGATACGTTGGGCAGCACGGTAAATGTTGTGCAAGTAGTCGGAGAGCTTCCGGTTATGATGAGTTGATTGAAGACCGAGATGAGGCACCGACTAGACCACAGAGGGAGCAACTGTACGTGCGCTACACCGTTCCTCTTGTCTCGGACCCCTTTCTCACGTCCCCCTTGCCACCCCGCCCCCTGTCTCCCTTCCTTTCCCGCTCAGCTGCCTGAAACAGGAACGCAGCTGCCTGGCGGTGGCGTGGAGGCAGCAGTGGCTCGGGCCGAAGCTCTGATGCAGGCTGGGCAGCTGCAAGCAGCAGCAGAGGCATTGGAGGGGGCGCTTGTGGGGACCAAGGCAGAGGAATTGGCTGGGGAGTGGGCGCGCAAGGCCAGGGATAGAGCAGTGCTTGAGCAAGCTCTTGCTGCCATGCGTGCGCATGCTGCAACTGTGGCTCTTTCGCTTTCCTGATTATGAAAACTCGCTATACTATTTGGTGTTTGCACTGGTTGTTGGGTGTTGCCGCATGAAGATTCTAAATTTGACATCTGGTGCTATTCGCAATATCAATATCAATGTACCGTTTTCTCCCGGGTACAGTATCAACATATAATTGTATATGTTATAGGCTAGACAGGTGCATGCTCATAGAGAGTAAAATACCTTAGGTTATATCCCCTTGTATCCTCTAATCATACTCCAAATTCATTACTCCAAGATGGTATCACACGCTAGGTTAGGTCCTCCCCTCCCACCAGCACTTCCACCCTAGTCCTAGTCCTACCTGCCCGTTCCTAGCCGCTAGTCGCTAGCTGCCCGTCGCTAGCCAGCCCGCTCCTAACCGCCCGTCACTAGCCGGGGCCCAGGCTGGGAGGGGGACTGGGTGGGGGGGGCTGGGAGGGGCTGGGTGGGGGGGCCTGGTGGGGGGCTGGGTTGGGGCTGGTGGGGGGCCGGGGGGGGGCTGGGGGGGGCTGGGTGGTGGGGGCTGGGGGGGGGCTGTGTGGGGGGGCTGGGGGTTGGCTGGGTGGGGGGGGCTAGGGGGGGGCCTGGGTGGGGGCTGGGTGGTGGGGGCTGGGGGGGGCTGTGTGGGGGGGGCTGGGGGTTGGCTGGGTGGGGGGGGCTAGGGGGGGGCCTGGGTGGGGGGGCTGGGGGGGGCAGGGTGGGGCGGGCTGAGGGGGGGCTGGGGTGGGGGCTGGGGGGGGGGGGGGGGGGGCGCTGGGGGAGGCCTGGGTGGGAGCCGGGGGGGGGGCTGGGGGGGGCTGGGTGGGGGCTGAGGGGGCTGGGTGTTGGGAGTGAAGCTGTAGATGGTGGAGAGGCATGAGAGGACGGTGAGAGTCAACACAAGGTATGCTTGGACTGTTGATACCGACAGGACTGACTCGGGATCCCCTCCTCTAGTCGTCTCTTTTGAGCTGAAACCGGTCCACGGAATCACAGTTGTTCCGATGCCACGGAATCACAATCCATGGACTGAGTGAGTATAATTGCAGCCTCCTCCTCCTCTACTCCTCCACGAACAACCTCCCTGCCTCATAACCAACCCCACATGACGGGCTTATGGCTATGGCTTTGTCACACGAGCGAATGGCTATGGCTGATGTATGAATGTGGGGCCTCCGCAGTCCACCTTGTTAGTACTGGCAGGAGGCATAAGTGGGAGATGCAGGAGAAGGTATGGTTTGGGAGGGGTTCAAGCGAGTTGGGAAGGCGTTGGGAAGGACGAGTGAGTGTGACGGGTTGGGAGGGTGCAGGTACAGCTTTGGGGTTGATTGAGGGGAGAGGGCCAATCGGATGGGAGGTCAAAGGAAAGGGCGGGCCGCGGGGGTATGGTGAAGGGTGGGGGATGTGAAGGGAATGGTTTGCTGGGAGGAAGCCTTGGTAGATGGCGAGTTGATGCCAACATGTCACGGAGTGCCCACATGCTTCATTGCGGTCGCGTTGCTTGCCCTGACGATGCTAACGCTATGCGAACATGCCAAATTAAGCCGCCTCCTGGTGCCACCCATCCCATCCGACCCCATCCCATCCCATCCCATCCCATCCCATCCCATCCCATCCCATCCCATCCCATCCCATCCCATCCCATCCCATCCCATCCCATCCCATTCCATCACATCCCATCCCATCCCACGACTCCTGTTATCGTTCTGCTTCTGGGGAGGAGGATGGTGTAGCAACTGCATTGGAGGCGGGCACGCTGGCAGATGCGGGGGCAGTGGGAGGAATCTATGCTTGACGCACCTTGATAATAGATTCCCATCTCCTTCCGTTCCACCCCATCCCACCCCATCCCACCCCATCCCACCCCATCCCACTCCATCCCACCCCATCCCACAACCCCTGCTGTTTGTCCCCCAACCAGGAGGAGGAGGGCTTAGCCATGGCAGCAGAGGCAGGCGTGCTGGCAGAGGCGAGGGCCGTGGCGGGCATGGCGGCTGCTGTGGCACGGCAGACAGAGGAGGTGGAGCGACTCAAGCTGCAGGTGAGGGCGGAGGGGCAGGTGAGGGCGGAGGGGCAGGTGAGGGACGAGGGGGTGCGAGAGCGTGGGGGGTGCGGAGAGCCCACACACCAACAGTCCCCCAAACACCCACACTCCCACACCCCCACACGCCCACCCCCCCCCCCCCCCACACACCCCTCCACATGCACGCATACACACACACACGCACGCGCGCGCGCGCGCACACACACACACGCCGACACACCCACCACCGCTCCTCCATCAACCTGTGCTAATCTTTGCTCCCCGATGCTCCATTCTCTCCCGTCCCGTTCATCCCCCCAGCTGGCAGCGCTGCATGAGGCCTTCCGCACTCGGTCGGAGGAGGAGAGGAAACGACACGCCGGCCACTCCCTTGCCATGGTACTGTTCATACCCACGTACGTGGTACTGTTCGTAGTCATGTTCACGGCACTGTTCGTCCCCACGTTCATGGTACTGTTCATAGTCATGTTCACGCCACTGTTCTTCCCCATGTTCGAGGTGTTCGTAGTCATGTTCATGGCACTGTTCATCCCCATGTGCATGGTACTGGTCATATAGTCATGTTCACGGCACTGTTCATCCGCACGTGCTTGGTTCTTTTTGTGAAGATATATTTCCTCCCCTTGTCCCCATCCACTGTCCTCCCACTCGTACAACCTTTATCCATACCCTCGCTCACTTCACGCCCACCCAAACTCACCTCCCCCCCTCCCCCCCCCCTCTCCCCCGGTCTCTGTCCCTCCCCCCCCCTCTCCCCCGGTCTCTGTCCCTCCCCCCCTCCATCCATTTCCCCGCTCTTCCCCATCGCCCTCAATTCTGTTCCCCGCACTTGTGCCACACAGTGTTCTTATCTGTCGTGCCATGCTTCGCAGCGTGCCACCGAGCAACCCGCTGCACACCTTGCTCCTTGCCTCCATCGCATCACCTCTTTTCTTACACTTCCCTTCACAACCCTGCTTCATTCCTCCTCACCCCTTCCCCCCCCCCCCCCCCCTCCTTCCAACCCCCCACCACTCTCCCCAATCAGCTCTGCTTTGCTCTAGAGGATGCTGCTCTGAATGGCACCCCCCTATCCTTGCCCCTCGCACCCCTGCAACCCGCCTCCATCTCCCTCCCTCCATCCTCTCACCAAGTCACTGATGCACCTGCAACTCATGGTTCCAGCACCAGTGGCAGCACAGACGCAGAGGTAGTAGCAGGAGAGTCACCAGCATCAGATGCTCTCGTGCATGCTGTGCTGGCCTCGCTGCCTGCCCCTGCTGCTGACCAGGGCGTGCCCACGCCAGCTCAGCTGCGGCAGCAGCTGACTGCGCTGCGGCTGTCGCTGAGTCAGCTGGGGCTCATGCCATCTCAGGGCGCCGGCGTGGTGGCACATGCCTTGGCATTTCTGGCGGCAATGGTCAAGGTGGGCTGCAGTGGGGTGGGATGGGAAGGGGAGGGGAGGGAGGGGCAAGGTAAGGTTATATCGAGTCTGGTTCGAGTTTCCGGTGGCACGATATGGAGGGGGAAAGAAAGAAAAGCGGGGAGGGTGCAGGGGCCTGCCGGCCCCGTCATTCGCTGGCCCCCCTCCCTGCAGCCCCGTCGCTCGCTGGCCCCGCGCTCGCCAGCCCCACACCTGCCGGCCCGTCGCTCGCTGGCCCTGCGCTCGCCAGCCCTGTCGCTCGCTGGCCTGTAGCTCGCTGGCCTCGCGCGCACCAGCTATGCGCCTGCTGGCCCTCCCATTGCCAGCTCCGTGCTCGCCAGCCCCTCGCTCGCTGGCCCTGCGCTCGCTGGCCCCGCGCCCGCTGGCCCCGCGCTCGCTGGCCCTCGCTCGCTAGCCCTGCGCCCGCCAGCACCGCGCTTGCCATCCCCGCGCCCGCTGGCCCCGCCTTCCGGGGCCCCTCGCTCGCCAGCCCCGCGCCCGCCATTCGTCGTGCCGCCGAGCCGCCGCGCCTCCGAGCCGCAGTGCCGCCGTGACGCCGTGTCGCGGAGCCGCCGCGCTGCCAGGCAGCCGTGCCGCAATGCTGCCGTGATGCCGGGTCGCTGTGCCGCCGAGCCGCTCTTCCGCCCCCACCTGCCGACCTTGGCTCCCCTCTGAGCCGGCGCTCCCACCGGAAGTCTCCATAGCTCTCCACCGCACGTCAACACTCAGCACCGCACTCCGCCGCTCTTCACCGCACACCACCATTCTCCACCGCTCTTACCGCTCTCCATCGCTCCCCACCGCTCTCCTCTGCCTCCAGCGGCTGTCAGCTGCTGCAGTAATGGCAATGTCGGACAATGTGCTTCGCCTGGACGCGGAGGGTCGGGCCGTTGCGTTAGAGGCGTGGCTCGTCGACCTACGCCGCCAGCTGACCGGGCACCGCCAAGACGGCCACTCCCTATCCGTCCACGTCGACGGTAAGCTCCCACGCCTCGCCTCGCTTGCTTCCCTCCCTGACGCCCCCACGTCTGCTGACCGTGATGCTTTTGTCGCTGCCGAGCTTGCCTGTGCTGTCTGGGACTCGCGCGACGCTGTTGCTCAGCTTGCCATTAACCACGCCCTTCCCCTGTCCGAGCATCCCCGCTTTACCACTGTAGTGAACGCCGAGGACTACTTAGATGCTGTCATCACGCGTTATTCCACCCCCACCTCAGCAACTGCAGGCCGCCTAATCCTCTCCATGCTGTTTCCTGACCTTTCATCCTTCCCCACCATCGCTGACCTTGCCACGCACCTCCGCGCACTAGAGACTAGCTACCGCGCCGCTAACACTGAGGCACAGCTCACTACCCTCCCGCCGCCGCTCTGCACTACCCATTATCTCACTACTACTGTCCCCACTAGGCAGAGGATGTTCAGAAGTTCGTCACCTCGTGTGATACCTGTCAGCAGATGAAGAGCAGCAAGCAGAAAAAGGCGCGACTACTGCAGCCTCTTCCTGTCCCAGAATAGCCATGGCAAGTGGTAAGCCTGGACTTCATCACCACGTTACCACCTACCACCAGTGGTCATGACGCAATCCTTGTCGTCATCGACAAGTTCTCCAAAATGGGACACTTTATCCCGACACACACGACGGCACGCACTGAGGAGACAGCACAACTCTTCGTTCGTTACATCATCTCACTGCATGGCATTCCAACCACACTCATTTCCGACCGAGACCCCAAGTTCACCAGCAAGTTCTGGAAGGAACTTATGTCTCTACTTGGGACCAAACTCGCCATGTCATCCGCCTACCATCCGCAGACAGACGGACAGACCGAGCGCCTCAACCAAATTGTTGAGCAACTCCTCCGAGCAGCCTGCAAGGACGAGATCTCCAAATGGGACCTGCACCTGCCCGTTCTAGAGTTTGCTTACAACAACGCTACACATGCCGCTACTGGACAGACGCCGTTCTTCCTCTGCTACGGATGCTACCCACTCACACCACAGAAACCGACAACATCCGCTACAGTCCAACCTGCACATGATTTCATCACAACCATGCATCAGCTTTGGGATCGGACCCACAAGCGCCTCCTCGACATTCAGCAGCAACAAAAGCGCCAGGCCGATCGCCATCGCAACGACCACACCATCACGGTGGGAGACCAGGTGCTTCTTGACACCCGCAACCTGGACATCAGCCACCTCCCATCTAAACTACGACCTCGCTTCTGCGGGCCTTTCCTCGTTGAAGCACAAGTCACTCCTGTTACCTTCCGCTTACGCCTGCCAGCTACCTGGAAGATTCACAACGCCTTCCATGTCCAGCTTCTCAAGCCCTATCGGGATCCGAACACGATCTTCGTCGGACGCCAACCACCGCCGCCGCCACCCGTCATCGTCCAGAATGAACCCAAGTACGAGGTCGAGTCCGTGCTTGCACACTTCCGTCGTCGGAATGGCGCCATGGAGCTTCTCATCCGCTGGAAGGGTTATGATCCTTCTGAGGACAGCTGGGTACCTGAGTCCGACATGGGTAACGCCCGTCGTCCTCTGCATGACTACCTTGTCAAGCAGGGTGTTACTTCTACCACCCAGCTTTGAGGGGGGGAAGTGTGAGAGTACGACCCCGTTACACCACTTGTCCCTATTCTTATTTCCTTCCTCTTTTATTTCTCTTTTTATCCCATCTCATTTACTTTCCTATTCTCCATTTTCCATTAACCGTTGGTTTATCCTGCTATTATAATTATATCACCGACCAGGCTTGGGATGTACTGGTGCGCTATCTGGCGTAATCCTCCCATAATCCCTTAAAGCCAATAGCCTCGCGTGGCTATACGCAGGGTGATTCTATCTTCTAGAAGGGTCTATTCCCTTAGGATAAGATAAACCTGGTTACCTGATGTACTCTGGAGGTATAAAAACGCCTTGTACTGATCGATAGTGCAACCTTTCCTCGAGTCATTCGATCCTGTGACAACGCGCCTGCCTGACCGCCTAGCCACTGCCCGCGACTAATTCCTTAGTAAGCAACCAGGTGACCTCACCCTACTTGCCTTTGTCACCGCCCTGTCCGTGATAGAGACCCGCCAATGCACTATCCCTCAGTCTAGCGGTACTGCGCCGATCCCTTTCTTCCAGGGCTGTACTCCCTCCTAGTGCACTTACTCTGACGTTTCTGCCGCTGTTGCTGAGACAGCTCCGACTGCTGAGACTGCCGCCGCGGCCTCAGCGCAGCAGCGCCATGGCATGGCGGAGGGAAGGGTGGTGGGGATGGTGGGGGTGGTGGAGGTGGGGGCGGGGACGGTGGTGAAGCCGAGGGGACCGGGGCTGGTACCTCAGCAGCAGCCTCAGCAGCAGCAGGAGCAGCAGCACCAGCCGCCGTGGGGACCCCCGCCTCCGTGGTGGCTTGGTGGCGTTGGTGGTGGTGTTCGGGGTGGTGTCCCGCGCAGCTCGTATGGCGGCTCCAATGTAACCACCTGTTAGTACCAGCTTCAGACCGAACCCCATCGCGGCACCGTCTGCGACCGTCCAGGTCACACCGCCACCCGCTGCTACCACCGCCTCGACGACCTCTACCGTTTCCGCTTTGGTCCCACCGCGGACCCTCCTGACTGGTACGTCCTGGCCCGCCGCCGTGTGCCCGTCTTTGAGCTTGAGATAGATCAGATTAGGACTGCTATGTATGTTATTTATCTTGATGACTCTAGTGTGACCGGATCTTCTTACCCTGTATTGTCTAGTGTAGGTGTGCCTCCCGTGTGTAGTCTAGGTTCCCCTGCTGCATCAGGCGTAGGACCTCCTGCCTGGTTTAGCTTAGGCTCTACCCTGTACTGGCAGACGCTAATGCTTCGCACTTTTTCACGCTCGACTCTGGAGCGTCTGCCTGCTTCTTCCGTGACCACACTTTGCTCACGCCGATTGCTGCCCCTGCCGCTGTAGTGCTTGCTGACCCCTCATCAGGTCCGGCAGTCACACGTAGCTCCATTACCCTTCCCTGTCTGGCGGTTCCCTTGGGCTCTCTTACAGGCTTGCAGATCCCCTCGTTCTCCAGGAACCTAGTTGGTGTCGGCTGTCTTCAGGACCTCGGCGTCACCACTACGTTCCCAGGACATGAGCGGTACACTGTCATATGGAGGCCGCCACGGGTGCGCCTCTTACCACGTTCCCCTGGGACCCCGTGCCTGGCCTGTTCATGCGGGACACAGCGTCCCCCCCGGTGGGAGCGCCCCCCTAGGTCACCGCGTCCTCTTAGGTGGCTGCAGCGTGCTCCTGTCGGTCACTCACCCACCCTTCATTGCTGTGGCACCACCGCCTAGGTCACACTGCTCTCATGCGTCTGCGTTACATGTCACATTACGAGCTTGTCCGTGGACTCCATGTATCGCTCCCTGCGCTCCCTCCCTCGCCTACGCCGCTGTGCACGCCCTGTATTGAGGGCCGGCTGCGCCATGCTCCCCACCCCTCCTCGCTCCCCCCTACCACTGCGCCACTCCAGACCCAGCACCTGGACGTTTGGAGTCCCACCCTTGTCCCTAAGGCCGCGTCGCGAGCGCTACTTTCTATTGCTTGTCGATGACTTTACGCGCTACACCACGGTGTTTCCTCTAGAGCGGAAGACCGACGTGCTTGACGTTCTTATCTTGTGCATCGTAGTTGTACGAATCCACAGCGGCCTCCCCGTGCTGCGTGTCCACTCCGGTCGGCTTGGCCTGTTCTATCGTGCGGAGGGCATCACCCAGTCGTACACTTTGCCGGACTCCCCACAGCAGAATGGGGTCGCTAAGCGACGCATCGGTTTGGTCATGGAGGTGGCTCATACCTCCATGATCCATGCCGGTGCACCCCATTTTGTGTGGTCGTTTGCTGTTCGCTACGCTGCTTACCAGCTTAACCTGTGGCCACACTCCCAGCGGCCGCAGGTTTCGCCGACCCTCCTCTGGACCGGGTTCCCTGGTGACTGGCCGCGTTCCACGTCTGGGGCTGCCTTCCTCACGTTCGTACCTCTT